CCTAGACTGATTCATCTTGAAAACTCAATTTTTAAAACTCAAAAATGACAGTAAATTTAGTGAAAATAATTATTTTTACTTAGAATCATATTTTTTATGATTCACAGTATCTACATTTCTGTATAAGCTGGAACTAATTTAGCTTGAACACTTAAATACTTTTTCAGTAAGATTTTTAATTTCTTTAAACAGATGTTTTCAATCTGTTAAACCTGACCTTTTTCATAAGTCAGGTTTAATTAATTAATTAACTGTAAAAAAAAAAAAGGTCAAAAACATTTGTTTAAAGCAATTAAAAATGTTACTGAAAAAAGTATTTAAGCTGTTTCAAGCATTTTATCATTACAAGTATACATACTAAATATTAAAAATAATCTATATTACTAAATAAAGAGACAACGTATTTTTCATTTGTGACCACTAACTGAAAACTACTGAACCAATCGTTACCAAATTTTAACTGTAGTATATTTATGATCCCCGGAATGTTTACCACTAATCAAACCTGCAGATTTTTTATTAATTAAATAAAACTACAATGGATATCATCTAGGGTTAAGGCTTTTATGTCCAACAGATGATGCTACGAATATGACGATGTGAGGATGAACTAAAGCAGATCATCTTCTACCTATCTATATAAATAAAAATGTAATGTTCATTTGTTACTACCAATTCCTTTGAAATTTTCACACAACGCTGCATTCAAATACGCACGTGTTTTTATATAATATACATGTCGAAATTCCTCCCACTGGGGGGAGATGAAGAGGATTAAGGCTTACTGTAAAGAACTCTGCTTTTATTTCTACTATTTTACATGCGTTTTAATAGGGTATGTCAACAGAATATACACTAAAAAGGGATTTTTCAATATTCCCCCCGTGGGGGAGAGATCAGGATTAAGGCTTACCTTGAAGAACTTGGCTTCTATTATACTATTTTAGATGTGGGTTTTTGCGTTTTTGATTGCGTTTTAATAGAATACGCCAAGAACACTAAGAAGAAATTTTTCGAAAAATCCCCCCCACACAGGGGAAGTGTTATACATTTATAATAGATATATTTTGAGCCACAACAACGCGTGGCAGGGTCTGCTAGTTTATTATATTTTTTAAATTAGAGTATAATTTTGTTTATAGTTAAATTGTTTTGCTGACACATACTTTTGTTGACTTCCAGCTTCAATTTGAATTGATGGTCAAGCCTATCCTATCCAATACAGACTGGGTGGCAACCCTAATGTAACCCTATCTCCCTTAAAATGGAGACAGTACCAACAAATGCAATATCTCATTGCTCTGACTACGTGAAAGAAAAGTCTACTGAAACAGATGTCTCCTCGCATATGGGGTATCACAAGATCTCTGGTTTGTCAACATGAAAGCTTCCAATAAACAAATAGTTGCTAATATCGTAATTTAAAAAATTTTTAATCTTTGACTGAAACACAATGTTCTAGTTAAATGTGGAAGAATTGTTTTAAGAATCTGAAATTGTAATGAGATTTGCTCAATTCCAATTCCCAAAAAATGCCTGATTTTTTAATTTTGATTAATCATCTCATCACTAGTTATAAATATAGTTTTTAATTACAGTAAATTATTTCTATAATTTTATTTCATTTGAAAAATACAGTCAAACCTCAATTTATAAAACTTAATTTATTCATAAAAGTTGTTTGAAAACAGATTTGTTTGCAGACTAAAACAAATTTTCCCACAAGAAACAATGTAAAATGGATTAATCTGTTCCCAACCTCCAAAACAGTCTTTTTGTTTTTTACCTTTTTAGCTGTATTTCATGCATGAAAATGCCTACAAATGCAATATATTATTATATATAGAATGGATATAGATATTAAAAAGCAAAACATTTCATCACCACCAACTGAAACTAACTTTACAAAAAGTGTTTTATAAATACAGACTCCACTCAGACTGCCAAGATGAAATATAACCAAATCAATCAAGACTTCAATACTGACAACAAGTACTTTATCCACAATTTCCAAAATATTATGTTTCAATTGATTCAAATTAACTAAATTTAAATCATATAGATAAAATGAAACTTCAAAATTTATAAAATTTCAAATTTTGTTTTAATCAACATTTGGAAAATGGTTTGCCCCCAATTTCTTTAAAATGTGGAATATTAGTTAAATCAGTTGAATTACTATAAATTTATATGAATATGGCAGCTTATTTTTTATTCTTAAAACTAATGCCACTAATGTCTAAAGGTAAGCATATATTATTTAATAAATTTACTCATTCTTAATTTTGTCTCTAATCAAAAGTAATTCTATCAAAATCAATCATTAGTCAAGATACTTTAGAGTCAATAATAAAAATAATATCATATAACAATTCAATTATAGAAATTTTGAATACAAATATTGCACATAAGAAAAATCAAGATAAAGACAGCAGAAAAACTATTACTTTGTAATATTTAAATTCTAAAAATATAAATATTTTACAAACTGTAATATATTAATGATAACAATGCACATTAATTTTTCTCTTAGTTAAAACAAAATAAAAATTTTCTTATAATTGCATACCTTCATTATGAGTAGCCCGTCTCTTTTCATCTCTGGCAGTTTTTGATCCATCTAATTTTGGTGTAAATTGGTGTGTTCTAGGAGCCAGAGTTCTTTGTCCAGTCTGTAATACATCTTGTGGTGACATCATTACGTAAAATTGGCCTGAATACAATAAAAGAAATTTAATGTAAAATTTCAAAGATATAATGCTCATACATTTATTGTCAAGAAAAGTAAATTTCATAACTAAAATTTTCTGACAATGAATATAGAGTATATTTAATGCTATTATCTTAAAACATGTTAATGATATTTCGGTAACTAACAAATTTAAAAATTATGATTTAAAATTTTTTTTTATTAATTTAAACTGTTAAAAAAAGCAATTCATAATTATTCTGTAACATTTAAAATATGTTTAATTTCTTATTTATTTTATCTTATAAATATAAGATAAAATATAGAATAAAATTTTATTTTATTAAATATAAGATTGATTATCTAATAAAACATTTTTATATAATAAAACAAAATGTTTAATTAGATAATCAATCTTCTCCACCAGTAACAAATTAGTCCATAACAAATACATNAGTAATTTACCTGATAAGACAGACCTCAGAAAAATACTTTATGAGAGCTTTTATACTTTTATAAAGCTGTCTATAATGAAAATTAATTAACTAAGGATTTTTTTGCCCTGCCAGGGTGTGGCCGAGTTATCCGGAGTGCTGGGTTATCAAGAACCAAGTTTTCGAGGTTCTACTGTATAATCATTTTGGGATTTGCCTAAACTAACAACAATCAACTGATAATATTATACAGAATACATAAATAAGATTAAGATTAGTCAATAAAACCAATATTTCCTTTCATGGTAAGTACATTAAAATACTAAAACAATTAAAAAATCTGTAACTTGAAGGATTTTTAATCATAATTATTAATTAATACACAGGGTGTAACAAAAAACTGCCAATATTTCAGAGATGATTCTAGGGTCAAAAGTAAGATTTAAATCTTCTATAAACATTTTCCAAAATCTACTTCATTTGAGATATGGCCTGCCAAAAACGAAAGTACTTTTCAAATTATCTATCAAAGTATACACTAGAGTTGTCAACTTTTTAAAGTAATTTTGTATTTGTTTCTGCCTCTGCGAACAGATTGAGATAACAGAACTAAATGATCCTAAGTAGATCCTACTGTAATAAATATAAGCCAAGTCTTATCCACTTTAAGAATTTTCAGTATACATCCACTTTATAGTAAAAAGTAAATAGTAGGAAATCTATGTAAATTTATTTAGAACATCATTTCATTTTTTTTCACAAAACTAAACAAAATAATTTTCAAGAAAAAATCTCAAAATGTCCTCCACTGATGTGGAGGAAATTGAGATTTTTTATTTTATTTTATTTTTTTTTATTCTATTTATTTTATTTTATTAATTATTTTATTTTTATTATACAGAAATTGAACTCCTGAACTTGTCAAAAGTTCAATTTCTGTATAATAAAAATAAAATAATTTTCAACATTCAAACTGAAGCTTCAGTTTGTATGTGTTGGCAACATAGAAGTAGAAAACAGTAATATCCCTATGGCAAGAGGATAAAAACTCATTTTTCAATATAAAGATTTGGCAGGCCAATCAAAAAAGAAAAGAATTTAAAATCTTCTATAAGCATTTTTCAAGTTTATTTTTCTAGAATATATCCCTAAAATATTGGCACGAAGTTTTGTTACATACTGTATAAGTCACCTCAAGATTGTTGTTTGCTACCAGCTTTAACAGTTAGTGTAATCAGCAATTTAATTTTTTCTTGAATTTTGTAGGAAAATTAAACATTAAATATTAATTGTTTTAATTTTAAGCATCAGTTAACATTTAATGATGGTTACGTGTTATTAGCCATATGCTGAGAATAATTAAGAAGCCTATTTGTCCAAATAACTAACAATTAACTGAATCTTGATTGCAATAAACAATGTTTTTAAATAATATATTTCAACTTATACATTTTGGGACTTGCTAATTTTGATAACATTAACCATGATTACATAAGCAGAGTCTACTATATTTAAAGTTCTTTTTTAAATAAAAAAATTTTTCAAAAACTTTTCATGGGTAATCAATAACCTTAGAGGCCAATATCACTGAATAACAAATAATTATTTGTCAATATTCTTAATTTATTATTGTGTTCCTTCTAAGAAAGAGAAAATACCTCTGAACTAAGCATAAACTAATCCCATGTTAAAACAAATTACATTTAAGAATTTAAATACAATTAATTGTAATTAGTTTGAAAGCTTTTAGATCATCATACTTAAAAATATTTATGTGAAGTTTAAACCTATTTAAAATAGGAATTAATAAAAAGTTTTATTATATAAAATATGAAATGGCATCTTTTGATTGATAAATTACAATAAAAATCACTTACCGTTTCATCTTTCCTTACCTGTCCTTGCTTGGTGTGGTCAGAGGCACAGTCTGGAATTATCTTTGAGAGTTTTATAATCCAATTGTTTATTTTATCCCTTCGTCTCCTTTCCACTAAAAATAAATTGTTGTTTAATTTTTCAGAAACTGACAGAAATAATATGTATAACATGCAGAACCTGTTCAGAATTATCAACACAAAGTTTTAGAATATTCATTGTTTTCAAAATTATAATAGTATTTTATTCAATTTTAATATTCTTTATTTTTTGACATTTTGTAAGTCAAAATTGATGATGATGATGATAGCAGAAAATGAGTTCAGATTGCATGTAATATTAGATGCAATCATATATGAATGAATTAAATTTTTAAAATGTAAATTCTCCAAATATTCATTAATATTTAAAAATTCAAAAAGTATTGTTGAAATTCCAATTTATCTTTAATGCTGTAAATGATGAATCAGAATTGTAGAAATACTGTATTTTTTTTTTTTTAAATCAAACTTCTTCAGAGTCAAATTAAGTTAACTCCATTTGATGTAGTTATAAAAACACTGAAAATGCTAATATAAAAATAAAACTTTTAAATGATGAATCACAGACAATATTAGCAGAGAAACAAAACATACAAAACAACTCACATAAAAAGGAAAAGCTATTCAACAGATATGTCAAAAATGATTGATTTCTTATACTACGACCAACCATAAACATTATCCAATCAGCTTATATTTAAACTACAAAAAGAGGATGATTCAAAGAATTATATTTCTACTAAAGTAAAAAGATTCATAAAGTTATGCTAAGTTAATAATTATAACATTTATTAATCTGACAATATGGAAAAACTGATTCAGTGTAGTGCTGAAAACTGAACCTCATAATTTACAAGATATGATGAAAAGTAAGCAACACAGTAATATACTGATATTTTAAATATTTTTTATTAGTAGGTGATAGTCTATATCAGTGATGGCAAATCCTGACCCAAGCAGACCATCTCACAGGTCATACAATGACCCAAATGGCAATTTCATGTTACCACATTGAACGTTTAAAAAATATTAGTTCAAGTTCTTATAAATTATTTGATAGTGTGAAACCAGAGTCCTAAAGCTGTCATGAAAGTCTTAAAAATCACTAATTATGAACTACAAATTATAAAAAAATATATAATTCAAATAAACAACAGAATATAATATTGTTTTGTTATTGGGCTGCAATTTGAAAAATTGTAGACCTATAAATTCCCACTGTCGTCCATCCGTCTTTCCTTAATCTCAAGAACGGAGTTAAACAGATGAAAGTCAAGACCAGATATGGAAACCTTAGGTCAGTGTTTCTCAACGGGGGCGATGTCGCCCCCATGTGGGTGTTTTTCCATGTTGAGGGGGCAATTATTAACAATTTATATTTTGGGAAATGAAAAACAATTTTTTGGGCGATATAGTAAAACATTATATTAAGGTTAATTAGATATTTTATTCATTATAGCATACAATAATTAAACAAATAACATTATACTAGTCACTAGTCTATTCAATGCACTATGAAATTGGCATTAGCCTTGACACTCGGCATCAGAATTTTGAAGTGAAGGGGACGATACAACGTAATAGTTTTATTGAAGGGGGCGATACTACATAATGGTTTTATTGAAGGGGGCGATACTACGTTGAAATTGGCGACGATTTGTTAGAGGTTGAGAAACACTGCCTTAGGGGAAGGAGACCCCGATTAACTATATATAAACTTCTGATGTAAACCAGTAGTAGTCCTGTTATTTCAATTAAAAAATTCCCCTTAAAGATGTTAGATAGACGATCAGCACGACTTGTTAAAGGAATAGTATGAAGTATAGGGGGCAAGCCACTACTAATTTGAGGTGAAGAGCATATGTTTTAAATTATATTAATTAAAAATTGCACCCCAGTATGGTGATGATGTCACAATAAATAACTGCTCGTAACACACAATATTTTCTTTACATTATATAGAATTTATTGTTATTTTTGTCATATATTGAGTTGTTCAGAAAATTCATAGCAATTTTTAATAACTGACAGTTAAGACACTGAGGTGAAAATTATTAGAATTATGCAAACCAATGAATATTACAATAAATGACCTTGAGATGCGTTCCTCCAAAAAAAAAAAAAAAAAACCATTAAGATTATTCAAATATCGTTTAATTTATCTCATTGCAAAAATGGATATGAACAATGTGCATTATCAACACATGTTTCTTTTTTTATTGTAAAGGCAAAAATGCTGTACAAACAGCAACAAAAATATGTCATGTTTATGGTGAGAGTGCTGTAGCAGAATCAACTGCTCAAAGTGGTTTGCAAAATTTAAAGCACGCAATTTCAACCTCGAAGATCCTCCCTGCTCCTGTTATTGAAGAGGACCAGATCAAAGCATTATTGGATAAAAACCCTCATTACACAACTCAAGAGATTGCAGACATAGTGAAGTCATCAAACAGTACTGTATTTCAACATCTAAAGAAGCTCAGATATGTTAGGACATTTGGTTACCTCACAACTTAATGGAAAATAACTTACTAGAATGCATCTCCATTTGTGATTCTCTTAAAAGATTAAATGAAAATGACCCTTTTCTCAAGCGTTTAGTGACAGGTGATGAAAAGTGAATTGTTTATAATAACATCAGCCAAAAACAATCAAGGGGTAAGAAAAATAAATCACCATTGAAAACTCTAAAGGCCTGTCTTCATCCAAAGACAGCCATGCTCACTGTCTGGTGGGATTGGAAAGGAATCCTGTACTATGAACTGCTTCCACAGAATCAAACAATTGATTCTGACAAGTATCGTTCCCAATTTGATAAACTGAATATGGCAATTAAAGAAAAACATCTGGAACTGGCCAACAGAAAAGGATAAAAAAGGCATTGTGTTTCACCAAGATAATGCTAGACACACATCTTTACAAACATGTCAAAAATTATTGGAACTAGGCTGGGATGTTTTCCCCCACCCCATACTCATCCAACCTTGCCCCATTGGACTACCATTTATTCTGTTCTCTGCAAAATTCTCTTCATGATAAAAACTTTGATACTTTGGAAACTTGCAAAAACCACACGGATCAGTTTTTTGCAGGAAAAACTGGAAAGTTCTATGAACAGGGTATCATAGATGGCAACATGTCATTAAAAACAATGGTGCATACATAATGGAATAAAAGTATTTTTTTAGTTTTAAAACAGTTTCTTTTATTTCTCTTAAAAATCACTATGAACTTTCCAAACCAACCAATAGATTATAAAATTAAAATAAAATTTGTAGGAACTTTTTGTTATTTTATAATTATTCAAATTAAATATTTGATCTATGATTTGGAGTTACTAAATTTCAAATTTTGTTTTAATCAACATTTGGAAAAAGGTTTGCCCCCAATTTCTTTAAAATGTGGAATATTAGTTAAATCAGTTGAATTACTATAAATTTATATGAATATGGCAGCTTATTTTTTATTCTTAAAACTAATGCCACTAATGTCTAAAGGTAAGCATATATTATTTAATAAATTTACTCATTCTTAATTTTGTCTCTAATCAAAAGTAATTCTATCAAAATCAATCATTAGTCAAGATACTTTAGAGTCAATAATAAAAATAATATCATATAACAATTCAATTATAGAAATTTTGAATACAAATATTGCACATAAGAAAAATCAAGATAAAGACAGCAGAAAAACTATTACTTTGTAATATTTAAATTCTAAAAATATAAATATTTTACAAACTGTAATATATTAATGATAACAATGCACATTAATTTTTCTCTTAGTTAAAACAAAATAAAAATTTTCTTATAATTGCATACCTTCATTATGAGTAGCCCGTCTCTTTTCATCTCTGGCAGTTTTTGATCCATCTAATTTTGGTGTAAATTGGTGTGTTCTAGGAGCCAGAGTTCTTTGTCCAGTCTGTAATACATCTTGTGGTGACATCATTACGTAAAATTGGCCTGAATACAATAAAAGAAATTTAATGTAAAATTTCAAAGATATAATGCTCATACATTTATTGTCAAGAAAAGTAAATTTCATAACTAAAATTTTCTGACAATGAATATAGAGTATATTTAATGCTATTATCTTAAAACATGTTAATGATATTTCGGTAACTAACAAATTTAAAAATTATGATTTAAAATTTTTTTTTATTAATTTAAACTGTTAAAAAAAGCAATTCATAATTATTCTGTAACATTTAAAATATGTTTAATTTCTTATTTATTTTATCTTATAAATATAAGATAAAATATAGAATAAAATTTTATTTTATTAAATATAAGATTGATTATCTAATAAAACATTTTTATATAATAAAACAAAATGTTTAATTAGATAATCAATCTTCTCCACCAGTAACAAATTAGTCCATAACAAATACATAAAATATTGCTAAACAAACACAAGAGTAAAAAAATTACTTGACATAGTATTAAAAAATAAAAACAAGAGTAAGAATAAATAAAAATACATTAAAAGTTGTAAATGCATGCTATATAACTATATTTAATTGTGAAAAGTCTTCATTTAGTAATGTTTGAAACTATTTGTATTTTGGAAAATACAATAAAAGTAGAATCTTTGTGAAATGCATAGTCTTTAAAAGAATTAAAAATGCATGGTAGGCTATGCAAATTCCACTGAGATGCTCTTTAACAGAGCCAATTTGTCTGGACATTATCATCTTACAAATACTTTAATGGTTATCAATCACAATATTTGACACATTCTTTAAGTGAGGGAAAACCCAATGTAGACTTGGCAATATTTGAGCAATGAGTAAAAGTTAGATTATAAAGTTCATTTAATGTTATAAATTTTTTTAAGTTCTTTTGAAATTCTAAAACAGAGGAACCACATCAAACTTCTGTGACAACTTTTTTTATAAATTGTGTCACAGAAGTTTGATGTAATGTTTTGAAATGTATGTTTAAATCAAACTGAAGGAGTATATTGTCCAAAATGTATCTTTGACATAATATCAACAATAAAGCACTTCCAAATCACTAAATAAACCTTATGCCTTGTCTGATTAGTCCATATCAGCTAATTTACAAATTGTGAATATAGCTTTTATATTCAGCATAATAAAAGAGCAGGTTGTTCAAAATTAAGCAAAATAAGTGAGAAATAGGTTAGCATTATTCAAAAACTATCAATATAGAAGTCAAACAACCTACTTATTAAAATAAGTAGTTTGTTTAGTTTGGAATATAATATAATACGATAATACTTTCAATTAAATTTTTTGAAAAACTAATTTAACAAAAACTGCATATGCCCTTTAAATTAATTCATTTAAGTTTTGTTTTCATGTTCTGAACTTACATAAACCATCATTGGCTAGGATTCTATCTATATTGTGTGCACATGCACATAACACTGGAAAACAAAATAATTAGCTTTAAAAATTCCTCTGTTCTAAATTACAAATTTCTTTTTTTATAAATTTTCAGGAAAATGAATGAATTCCTTGATGATTATTACTTGATATTTTCAAATTTTACCCTGTGAGGGAGAACCTATATTATTACAACTTTCTACAATACTTAATTATTAGTGTTGTAACGAATAGTATATTTGGCCTCAGGCCGAATACTCGGCCAGGAGCGTAGCCGAATAGCCGAATATTCGGCTTAATTAATGCACATACGAAAATTGGCGCGCAAACTGCATTATAGCCAGGACCTGCTCTCCATTGGCCCACTGTCACTACGCTTTGCCAATCGCATTAATTCTTGACAGTTCAGACAAGAGCGTCATGGCAGTATGTGATAAATGACAATATCAAATGTGAATAACAATGAAATGACCCACACGTGTAAATAACGGGAAAAGAACAGAGAAAGACCGCGAAGTGAAAATATGAAAATAAATATGAAATTGAGTTGATAGCATAATAGAACAAGTCAAAGCAGCTTATTGGTGCCAAATTTGCGGTCGTCAATGCCAAACAAGTGTTGTCATAGACTTCGGAAAGCTTAATGCTTGTAATGAAAGTCACTTAGCGTGCACGGGCGAAAGCCTGGGACCGTTCGGGCTATCAAGCTGTCTCGAATCTGCGAAATCATAACTGTGACATATACCAATGTCCTATCTGTCTCTTTTCTATGTTATCACCAGGCTATGAGTCACGTAATTATAAAATGGAAAAACAACAATGGAAAAGTGACGAATCGAAAGTATCGCGAGCGCATATTACGATGTATGCATAGGCATACGTGGACTAGAGCAATAGAGTAAAGATAAAGGGAAGAGCAAAGACGAGCGCTTAAAAAGAAGGACAGGCAAGGTCAGACCCTCAGATGTGTGACGATTCTCGAACGAATAGATGTGCTGTGCTGATATTTGTAATTATAAATTGTAAATACATGTGACTAATATTATTTTTTTTATTTTGTGAATGTTATAAGTTATAAATGAATATAAACAAACAACACTAACCCGATAACATTAAATCTAAATACCAAAATGATTAATTTACTATGTTTTCGTTATTTCTTACTCCTGTTTTTAAGTATTCAGTATTCGGCCGAATAGTGATTAAATATTCGGTATTCGGCCGAATAGCGAAAAATAGTCCGAATATTCGTTACATCCCTATTAATTATCAATACCACCTTCTGCTGCTGAGAGATGTTTATTAAAGCATACGTCTTCAATCTAATACAATAGGCCATCTTCAGAACATTACAAAATAAGTGGCAGGTAAAAAATGCTTGAAAATAGATTTGAAAATAGCTCCTAACTTATATAGTATTTTGAGAAATGATAAAGACATGCTTAGAAAAGAAAAAAAAGCAGGCATATATAGAATTCCATTTGAAAAATCAGCAATTGGTAATAAGCAGACTCTACTGGGGTCACAAGAAGGAATCTAACCATTAGACTTAAGAAGCACAAATATGACATTAATAAAGGGCACTGCAACACAATTTTGTCCAGTATGGCACAAGCAGAGGACTCTGATTAAATGAAATGAAGAAAGTATCCTCAAGGCTTAGCAATGAATGAAGAAATAATTGAAATTTATAAAAGCATATTAAGGGATGGTTGCATAAATGCCAAGGATACAGATGGACTGTCTTCTGCATGGAAATTCTGTATAAAAAAATTTAATATATAAAAATTTTTAGTTGGCACCTGCCCTTATATTTTGATGCATTTTTGATTATTTTATTATTTATATTGCTGTTGTTTTAGTTTGTTTATCATATTTTATTTATTTAATTGTTAATTTGTCTAATATTTTGTTTTAAATTTAAACATAAGCATTTGGATGTCCCTTCATTAAAATGTTCCATTTTTTGAAAAGGCATTAGAATTCAGTTACACCTGAGGATGGCCTATTGTAAGTGAAAACATTTGTGTTTTGTTTAATAAACATTTCTAAGCAACAGAAGATGATATTGATAATTCATTAAGTATTTCACAAAGCTTTCTACAATATTCCAAAATTATTTCAAAAAATAATAGAACAGGGAGAAAGAAGAAAATTATCGATATTAAAGAATACTTTGTTATAATATAAATATATTGTATTTTCAAGTATTTTTTAAGTTATAATATGTATTAGTTACAATATATTTGTATACAAAACCAACAAAAGTAAATACAGTAACCCCTCAGTTGTTAAGAGACAGATAAAAAGTGCAATATAACCAAACTTTTTTATGCAGTTCTAAGTTAATTTTAACTCGTTGTTTTGGTTTTATGCGATTTTAGAAAATTACGGAACGTATCCCTACTTTTTCAAGGCAAGTAAAGTCTTTTTTTATGCGAATTTTTTATATGCGCTTTTCTGTAGAACGTATCCACCGCATAAAACGAGACCTTACAGTATTGAACATCAAAATTTAAAAAATTACAGTGAGTAAAAACTCTAAAAAGCAAAATAAAGTTAGTACTGTATAAATATTTTAGCAATTTTCCTTCAGAAATAAAGAAATATTTTCTGTACACATTACTCCTGAATTCAAAATTTCACACCTTTATGCAAACTGACAGTATCCCTCAATTCACATAAAGCTGTGAAATTTCGAGTTTACAGAAACTTGTAAGTGAGGAGACAGTACTTAAAACCAATAAACAATTTTTAATATCAAAAGGAAACTTAAATGATAATTGATCTGTCTGCCTGTTTTGCTTATTTAGATCTTGACAAATTTATTGTTTCACCCGCAGTGGTAGTTTCAAGGACATTAGTAGAATAAAATACTGTATTTTGTTGCAAAAAGAAATTCAATGACAATTGATAATTTAAAATTTATTGATTCAAGTGCTTTTACAATTTGGAGGACCAAATAAAGAAAAAAAAAGCACTATATATCTGAATCCACCATATAACAAGGGGATACTGTATATAAAAATATGTCACATTTAAAGAAAAAATATTACAGTAGAGTCCCAGAAACTTTACTCTCAATAACTTGTGTCATAAAAAAAACCCCTGCAATTTAACTTATACTAATAAAAAGAAATTAAATGTATTCCATTGATACCTGGGTGTTTGTGCTTATTATCACTGGTGTGACAAGTCCTTATTCCCACCTCACATTAGTAGGTTTTTAATTAATTTAACTTATACTATCATAATTTAACACTAGGATCAAATAAGTTATTGTGACACTTGATAACAGCATCTATTCCATATGTTAACAAAAATTATAAGATTATTATTATATAACCCCCTTTTCCAAAGTTCCACCCGCAAAATGCCACCATGCAAACATCACTAACTCTACAGTAGCCATTGAATAGCCAATATTTTTTAAATTAAAATATAACTACAAATAGAAATAGTCAGTATTGGTACATAATTAACACATATGTATTGATATGTGCAAATTCATATATGTATATTAAAAAGTATTATAATTGTTTGAAATATGAAAATAAATTTTTGTATCCTTTGTAGCACAGTAATCATTTATTATTTGAATGTACTGTAAATTTTCATTCATGTTGAAGGTGTTAAAAGATTTTTAATAGATTAATTTGTAGTAATATATTATGAGTTATGAATAATCCAATCCAAAGTCTGCAAAACTCTTGATTTTCAGTAACTTGTTGACTTCTCAATCCACATTAAATCAAGTTACTAGGATTCTATTGTATTTATTTTTATGACAAACTAGAATACTTTACTTAAATTAATTTTATTTTATACAAAATACATTTGTTTAAAAAAGCGAGAGTAAAAAAAATGTTTCATAAATATATACAGGTTTATATTAATTCATAATTATTCCAGAACTACAAACTACATTGTTTATAAAACAAACAAATCATAAAATTAACAATAAAACTGATTGATACTCTTTTTAAATTCTAGAGATTGTTATTTTTTATACTAGCTTGGAAATATTCTTTTAATATGCTCTTATGATATTACGTAAGTTAAAATTTTTGTTTCAATGGCATTAATTATAAACTGGTCAAACCTTCATAAAAAAAATCTTGTTAAAAGCAATTGTAAATATATTAATCTAATGCACATTAGATAAAATGCAGTGTTACCTGATGTAGCTTAGAATTCAAAAGTTATTAAAATAAATCTGTTATTAAATTCTAAATCTTTCTGCAATTCTAAACTACAAACTAGCAACAGTTTGCTCAACTTTCCCGGCAACATTTAAAATTTGTGGCACCATCTTTTATCATATTTCATTAAAAATCTTTTTATTTTTCTAACTATTATAAAATGGCAAAAAGCTTAATTTTGAGGGTAGAGACAAGTTTTATAAAAAATTGTAAATGCTAATAATGAGTAAAATTGTCATTAAGTCTAACCCTAATGGAGATACATATGACCCTATAATATCCCCCAATCCCCTCTCGACCTTTAACCACCAAAATTTAATAGCATCAATCCCACTAATAAACAAAAATCCCTGCAAAATTTCAGAAATTTTCAATAGAAAGCACAGGAGTTATTAAGCTTCAAAAAGGATGAACAAAATCATGCCACTCATACACCCACAATCATACATACAGAAATTACCCTCCCAAACATTTTTGCATTTCTCGATGTTTCAAGGTGTCCTGAGTTCAAAAATGTAACAATCTATAAGTCGTTTTTTGCTGGATGGTCATACTTTATTATAACAGATGGAAAAAATAAAATTAAAATATAATTATGAAATTACTGTATCTGCTTGTACTTTGCTTTCATTTGATTTTAATAACAGAGTTAATATTGCAAACAGCAAAAGATTTAATGAAACTAGTTACTTTCAAATAATGCTTTATTTTAATAGATGTATATTATTTACAATGCTAAAATGAGAATCAATGAAAAAGCTTGAATTATTTATTGTCTAAAAAGCATCACTCATTCAATCATTTATTTTAAAATTTACAAATGATTTTCTTCAATAATTATAATATTTGATTCATAATACACTATTACATATTCTTAAAAATTTTTTGAAATAGTAATTTTTGAACTAAATCAAATTATTATTAAACAAATCATTTATTTGTATTTTTGATTCTGAATTTCTGAGAACTATTCAATTTAAAAAAGATTACCTTCTCCACCAGGCCCTCCATTTCCATTAGTTGCAGTAAAAGGATTTGTAATAATAGCCTGTGCAACCTGTTGACCAACTAAAGCAGCACCTGCAGATGATACAACTTGAGTAGCTTCAGTGGTTACTTCAGGTTGATGTGCTACTTGTACTACACGATAAGTCACAGCACCTGAAAATATTTTTTAAAGTATACTTATGTATATTTTATGATTTAAAAATGATATAAAAGTAAAATAAATTAATAGCAAAATGACAAATCTTAATGTTGTCAGATAATTGTCATTATTGAATATATATGTTATGAACAAAGTGATTAATACGGGCATTATGAATAATGACCAACAAAATCGGGCATTGTAATAAATTTCAATAATTTATCAAATTGACCGGCCATTATGAATACTGCTACCACCTAGTCGGGCAAAAGTGATGATAATACGTTGAGGAATGATCATCCGACATACGTTAGCAAATCAGAACTTACATCTTACTTGCTCATGCATATTGCATTTAGTACCAAATTTTAAATTTATGTGACCAGTAGTTAATCTTTCTTCTTTGACAAAAGTAATAATCATGGAGGAATCATTAAGTATGAATAATCACTTCAACAACCGATTACACAAGTTAATAGCAGAAAAAGGTGACAACTAGGGTTTATCAAACGGGATTCTGGAATCCCGGTTGTTTTTTTAACCCGGGAAATATCCCGGGAAATTTTTCTTATCCCGGGAAATCCCGCAAATTTCTTAAAAATTCACTTTTTTTCTTATTTTGTGTTAAGGTTGAGGAATTTTGCAAATAGAAAGCATAATTAACTCATTCACTGTCAGAATACATTTGTATTTATTAATTTTAAACCTACCTATTAGTTTTTTTTAAATTTTTGCTCGTTATAGCATGTCACAAATGGTCAATAATCAATATATAGCTTATTTGTGGCAGGACTATAAAAATTCTTTACTTGTCGGAACCTGTAATATCTGGAATAATTGTGCTTACGCTGTCTTGAGTTTTAACCATGCCCAGTAGCTTCAATAAATGCCTGACGCCAGATTGTGCAAATTGGGCAAGGATACAAACGAGTACAAAGTCTGCAAGTATGAAGTTTTTCTTCATAAACCTGATTATTAAAGCCAAATGAATTGCCGAATTATCGAGCTCTAAGCTTGATGCCGCTATTAAAGCAGCCAAGGTAGACAAATCAAGAATACTAGAGAGCGAAAGAAGTACTACAATCTCGAAAACGAACTCGAAATCTTCCAGGCTACAGGTGAAAAAACACATAATATCTGTCTTCTCTTAAATGCATTAAACACTATTCCAATCACATCAATTGAATCGGAAAGGGCATTCTCGGTGGCAAGACTTTTCATTACTAAAATAAGAATTAGAGTGAGTTATCGGAGTATTGACCATCTTTGCTTTTTAAAATCTTATAAAAGTTTGCAATATTTTGTATTATATTTTATTTAAAAAACGAAAATTACCTTCTAAATTAGAAGTTCATTTTTTTAATTTTTAACTCAATTCAAAACATTTTTTTTGTTGTTGTTGTATGCAGTTTCCAGCAAACTTTAATTAATTTTTTTCTATTTGTGAAAATTTCTACGTTATTTAAAGGTAATTTTTATTATAGGCCTATAGACCTTACACAGCATTATTAATATGATTTTGGAGGTTACAGAACTTTAAAATTACTTTAAAAAATGGAAAATAATTATATCATTTGATTTCAAGATATTTTGTATACCTTAAAAATAATTAATTCTATCCCGGGAAACAGTTCACTTTTATCCCGGAATCCCGGGACAAGCAAAAGACCGGGAAATGAGAAACCCTAGTGACAACAATCAAATTTTTACAAAATCAGCATATTTGTCAATGATACAAAAAGTGAAAGAGTCAAAAATGAAAGTTACTTCTAAATACACTCACCAAAAACTGAAACTGTAATATTCACAAATCACACCTTTCATTTTCAAATCACATTTCAATATTCACAGATCTTTTTTTGATGTTTATTTGCTGGAAATTTTGAATTTAGGTGTGATTTGTGAAAGTTACTTCTAAGTTACCAGAAGAATATCAGCGTTTACGTAGATATGACGTTGTATCTATCAGAAATTTAGACAAATTAATTATGCCTGTAAAAGAAGGTAATGTGATTAAATATTATGTTCACAGGGAAGAAATATTTCAGATATTGCACGATGCACATACTGCTATTAGACATGGCGGTAGAAACCGAATGGAAAAAGAATAAAGTACAAAATATAAAAATATTACAAGGGAGATGATCATAATTTATTTGGACTTGTATGAAATCTGTCAGAAAAAAAAGAATAGTTCCTAAGAAAGGCTTAGTAGTTAAACCAATTTTATGTAATAAAATGAACTTGAGATGTCCGGTCAATCTTACAGATATGCAGTCACAAGCAGATGAGGAATATAAATTTATACTCGTGTATCAAGACCATCTAACTAAATTTGTTCAACTACAACCATTAAAAACCAAAAGGGCTGAAGAAGTATCACATGTTCTTTTAGACATTTTTTACAATTTTCGATGCACAAAGTATTCTACAAAGCGATAACAGCAGAGAATTCGCCAATAATATCATCAAAGAAACGTGTAATATATGGTCCGAGTTAAAAATGGTGTGTGAGGGTCAGAAATTTTGTGTTATAAACTTTAAAATTTTCCCAAATTTTAATTAAACTTTAAATGCAACTTTATTGAGACGGAACGAGTTATATAAAATTAAAAGAGATAAGGGAAACATAAAATCTGGTTAACCTTCGATTCCCACGAGTTGGGTTCCTTGTTGAGATGAGTACATCTTTGTGTTACGATTGTGTCACCCATCACCTCATTGGTCCAAGGAGATCGTCATCCCTGACGAAATTGGGGAAAGGCCCAAAAAGAGAACTTCGTATAGAACAGAACAAGGAATTCATGTAGAACTGGAGAATAGTGATTTTAAAACCGAAAAAGCTATAGAACTTGCGACAGATTTCATTACTAAAAGTTTGGTAACGATAACCGAAATCGTTGATTCAAATTGTAGCGAATGATCCAGATTTTGAAAGCAGTGCAAAAGCGAAACGAGGTGTTTTGAATGCAATCTTCTGCTACGCACATTTGCTTAAGGAAAGAAAAAAAAAGCGACAAATGAGACTACACGACTTTATCGCAAAAATACAAGAATTTCAGAAAATCCACGACCTTCATCACAAAAAACGAACTTAACATTACTTTGTGCATATGTTTATGAGTTATTTAACATACAGGNAACCGAAATCGTTGATTCAAATTGTAGCGAATGATCCAGATTTTGAAAGCAGTGCAAAAGCGAAACGAGGTGTTTTGAATGCAATCTTCTGCTACGCACATTTGCTTAAGGAAAGAAAAAAAAAGCGACAAATGAGACTACACGACTTTATCGCAAAAATACAAGAATTTCAGAAAATCCACGACCTTCATCACAAAAAACGAACTTAACATTACTTTGTGCATATGTTTATGAGTTATTTAACATAAATTATCATGCAAATTAATATAAAAATAAATAAAAATAGTAAAATTTGTTTATTTTTAGTCGCGTGTTTCTCTTTCCCTATTTAATCTGTGTTAAATTGACCTCGTTTAACGTTGTTTTACTTAGTGCTTTGTCGTCTAGGAAGTCATCCCCCACTTTAAGCAGTATATGATTATATACAATATTTTAAATGTTTTTTTAAAAAGGAGTTTACAACGAAGTTAAGCCTGCCAAAATATATTTCAGTAATTTTACATAGACGAGACATTTGAGAAAACGAAAGACAGCTGTTGAACAAATGCTCCTGTTGAATCAACAGATACGGAGATTACAAGGAAATACACGTTCAGTAAAAGAAATCATGGTCTGGCAATACAAGAGAAGAAAAGATCAGAAGTTACAACAATTATTCAGATACTCCACATTAAGTGAAAAACGAGTGTGGGAAAGTCAGTGAAGAGTAGATAAGACAACTCTAAAAATATCAAAACTATTAACTAATATATTGAAATTATGACTAGAATACAATAAGCCATTTAATGTCAAACAAATTAATGTAGTATCCGAAATTGATAAAGCAGTAAATCAATTTAAAATAAAACAAGATGGTAAAATAGTGTGAAATCCGGAATTTTTACCGAATTTTCCGATTAATATCCCGCATTTTTCTAAACCCCCAATTAAATTTTCCTTTAAATTCTAACTAAAACCTAACTTAAAAAAGGGAAAAATTCCAGTCTCCCCTTTCGTTTAAAGTAAACATCCGTCCATTTCGAAAATAATCCCCCATTCCAACTCCAAAGTTGATAGTTAGCATGGTCCCGGGAACAACTTTGACTCATCCGAGTACCTTTTACCTCACAACAATTAGTCACATGATCATTCTCCCACGACGAAACTATAAAAGCCGCTTGCTTCCCTCTCTCGGGGGAGTCGTTCATAAGCCGCCAACTACAATTTTCTCGAATATTGTATCCTATTGATATATTGTGTCCTGAGAAACTATTATCCTTATCCTACCAGTTCGTAACCCGTTGGATATCATAACCTTTTTCCTCAAGAATATTTAAAGACATAAAGAGGTATGGAACAAATTTTTGTGAACTCTCTCTCGGCCCTTCGCGGTTTAGGGACTCAGAAATTTCCCTCGATAATAATTATTGTACCGTCTATGTAGATAGCTAATAAATCGTTGTTTCCTTGTTAAATTGGTGACCTGAGTTTACTCGTATATCGCCTGTCACCTTACCGACGGCCCTCCTCCCTCCTCCACTCGATCCTAACAATTAAATCCCGTTACCGCGGGATAGGGAAGAAGAAACATTTAAGCCATCTTGACAGTGAGCAGGTTTAACGACATGTCGCAGGAAAGGGAGACCTCCAACCTCCCCGGCGGTTCACAATAGTATAAAACATCAAATAAAAGCAGATATTGAAAAATTAGACAAAAATCCTAAAAAAAAAGGTGAGATGATAATAATTGGTAAATAATGAAAAAGTAATCTAAAAATTGTATAACATTAAAAACATATTAAAAGAAAAATAACGTAACTTTAACTAAAGAAGATAAGACAGATCAAGTTACGAACGAATGGAAGGATAAGAAAAATCGGAACTTGTGCTGCCG